CGCTATCTCCATCATGTGGAAGTTCCAAGCCATATCGATATTTGCTTTCCTTGTTTCAAACATCCCCGTCGTCAACGGAGCAGATTGCGACTCGAACCAGCCCCGCAAAGAAGGGGACCCCTCAGGCGCAGACATCGCCAGCTTTCTTTCTGGTGCCCTGAACGACCCCAATGGCATCATCTGTGCTGGTGGATTCCCACCACTAAACAATACACTGAACAGCACACTGAACAGCAAAATTGCTACCTACAATGCACGCTCGATGCTTTTCAATGTTACACGAGAAGACGCCACCAAGCCCATTGAGAATTGCAACGAAGCTTTCTCGAACATCATCGAACAATGCATCCAGAACGACAACTATTGGGGCGGAGTTTGGTCGCTCAATGGCTTCATCTACACCATCGCCGACATAGTCTTTCCAGGGAATGGCATTCAAGGCCCAGAAGACCCTGGGTCTCATACCCCATCACCATCGTCAACCCCATCACCGTCTTCAACCATATCACCATCTTCAACATCGACTGTGCTCACAGAGACGGATTCGGCTGGAAGTGTAATGACTTTAACTGTGAGTCAACCGCAGACAGCAGTATTTTGATTCGTCTTCTGACTAAACAATGCAGTTCGTTCCCTCCACTGTTCCCGAATATACGACCTTAACAACAGCAACGACGGCCTCGACGACCACGACGGATTCTAGTGGTGCGATCATTGTCATTCCTCTAATCATCGGGCCTGGTGGAGTTATATGGGGTAAGCATGGGTGAAGTACTTGTCTCGAGCGAAGCTGACAATGAACGCAGTGCCTAACGGGGGTGTTCCTCTGCCACCGGGAGCGACACCTCCTTCAACACCACCTGGAAGCGATAGTGACCCTGAGCAGCCAAGTGGAAACCCTGACGTCACTACAACTGATGGCCCAACTACAACTGATGGCCCGACTACGACTGATGGCCCGACTACGACTGATGGTCCTACTACGACTGATGGTCCGACTACGACGTCGTCATCTCTGTCTTCGTCTTCATCAGCCGCTCCTGTGCCTACCGTAACCCTCGTTGGAGACCCTCCACTACCTGACTACCAAGAGATCATGGGCATCGAACCTTCCGGCCCACTCCCAGACGACCCTCCCGATACCAAGTCGGAATCCTCTCCCGATACCACCTCGGCCTCTTCCGATGCCTCCACCGCGCCCCCTCCCACTGCCCCTACCTCGACCTCTCCCATTGCCTCTACCATGACCCCACCATTTCCCACACCAACACCGTCGAATGCCACTCAAACCCCCGTCGATCCTCACGTCGGAACGCCAGATTGCTTCCCAAGCCACGGGACTACCGATGCGGATCGAATCGTCTCCATAGTGATGACTGATGAGCGAATCAGCACATTCTGTGCCGGCACTGAACCAAATTGGACGCAAGTCGGGGCCGACTCAGGGGGAAATGGCGATCCCAAAAACAACAATCGTTACGACGCAACGTTCACCATGGACGCGAACGCCCCAGAGCTTTGCAACCTGTTGTATACGGAGAAAGGGAAGTCTCAGCCAGATGTTCAGAATGCTTGTACCAACCCATTCAAAGCGATCAGGGAGGCATGTCCGTTCAATGGCGGACAGGTGAAAGCAGATTGTGGAGTGTGGACGCTACAAAGCTGTCCGTCCGGTGGGAGTTGTAAGGTTGGAGAGCCGGGCCAGCACTGTCAGATGAATCCAGGGAGCGCGGTGTGCTTGTGATTGATGTAATACCCGCGCACAAGGCCTTTGTAAAGAATCATTTCTTCTGGAGAAGCTGGTTAGAAGTAGTGGATCATCAGTCGTCCTAAGTTAGATAGTTCACTAAGTAGGTAATCCCCATCCGCTTGTAACGGAATAACCGCCGTAATAAAACAAATCACAGGCATCTTGAATTCAATGCAATGGAATCATTTTCTCTCACTGAAAGACGCTTCCCTGCAAGATGACACACCAAGTTTTCCGACATTGTGGAGTCACTCTGCGCTTTGTCCACCCTGTGCTAATTTAAGGTTAGTCTATATAGCAATTGCACGGAACACATTTCCAAGACCGTTTTAGCCAGTCACTTCCAAAGAGAGCGACTTTCGTTGTAGTCATTACCGATCGACCCGTAAAAGAGCCAAGCTTCCAAACGCCGTCAAGCCTCGAGTCATCACACTACAATATTCAATCCAGACTCTTCTTCAATCACGATTGTCACAATGAGGATCTCTAAACCCCTCGTTATCTTGTCTTCGGCCACCGTCACTATAGCCCGCTGCTTTCCCGACAGCGGCCAGAAATGGGCCACCGAAGCCTGCAAAGACGCGGCTAGGGGTGCTATCAGGGACCTTTGTAATAGCGGTAGGCTCGCAGGCTATTTCAATCAGGGCGAAACCAAATACGCTTGCGCCAATTGCCCGTACGCGGGCATCAAGTTTGATTTCGCTGTGGGTTGGCAAGGCCGAGGCGGTTTGACCCTCAACAAAGAAGACTGCATTAAGCGACTGACCGACGAGGTTAATGGCTGCCAAGCCGGCGGCGAGAAAGTTACTGCTGACTGGCTTTTCCGGTAAGTTTTTGTATACACACAGTTAGCTTTACACGGACGAAGACAGCTAACAACGTCTAATTGTAGGTCTGACCCTAACACGGGCCGGTGCTGAGTATATCAGCTCGTGGAATCAAAAGCGACCGAGAAGTTACAATTAGCATGAAACGATGGATGGAGGAACGCTTGTGATCGTATGTGAAAGAGTAGGTAGTTGGTGCTAAATACAACGTACCAAACCCTTCGCTGCAACAGCAAACCACTACTGAACACTGAACCGGGTATGACGACCTGTCACCAATGATTTATGGAGTGATGCGTGATACGACAACGGAGTTGATATTGGTGCTTATAGTACCATATGAGGTTACTGCATTCGACCCGAAGCCGGCCACTGCAGATTCGAAGCTGAGAAAGAAGGAAATGCGAAAGGCGGGATAAGCATATTGCCCGCCCCCATCTCAGCATCACCGAACATCTCCTCGATATCATTCTACATCATGGTTAGCAATGCCAGTGTGTGGTGGGGCGAGAGTGTTACTTACCCAATCGATGTCGTTGATAGCGTCCATCGCAGTGTTACCGTTAGAACCAGCTGCTATTCCACCCTCGTACATGGTAGAAATCGGACTACTATTACTACTTTCACCTTGCTGGGCGGTGGTTGGCATCAGATTGCCTGGACTATTCCCAGGAATGACGTCGTAGGTTGAAACAGATACTGTCGCTGGCATGTCGATGGTACCCCAGTCTACAGTCGGCATAGCGCCAGGAAACGTGTTGAGCCTGGGTACTAACGTGGACTGAACCTGAGAAGTCTGTGGTGGTGACGGCGAAGGCGGTACGAGATTTTGCAGGTTTGCATTGCTGTTCAGTAAATGCGAAAGTGGACCAGAAGTACTCGGCTCCGACTGCGTGCTTCCATCACGTCCACCCTCCTCCCTCTGTACGCGTTGTCGAGGCTCCAGGCCTGCTTGCGGCATGTCGGCAGGAACACGAACTCTTTTCAAGGCAGAGTAGGCTTTCGTCTTGCCGACGAGCTCTTCCAAAACCATCCTCGTTTTCTCAACGTTGGATAGTCCAGTGGGTAGATTGAACGAGTAGTCCAGACATTTCCATATTCGCTGTTCCATCGCTGGTTCCGGGTTTGCTACGTAAATCTCGCTTACGAGAAGAAGCGCGCAGTGGTGTTGATGGAGAGCACCGACGATCCATGCCCAGGAAGATAGCACTGGATGCTGCTCAATTGCCATGCCATGTTCCAGAATCATGGTCGCTGCGCTTAGTGTCAATTGTCGTAATCGCTCCGGCATTCGGCTGCGAGCAGAAGTAATGTACTTCTGTAAGATGGAAATATACAAGCGGTTCGAGACGATGCCGTATAGCTCTGACGCTAGAACGTGTAATAGCTCTGTCTTGGACAGCATGGGAAGGTACTTCTTTTCCATAGCCGCTTGGAATGACTGAACTCGCGACAGAAGCGAAGTGATTGTGACTTCGCTCTTTCCGTCAGCGCGTTTGCGATCCAATTTTGGACGCTCGGTCCAAAGGAAGCGATGCATCTCGTATCCTTCAAATCGCATGAGGCTAATAGTCATGTCGGTGAAGTGATTGCGATCTTTACTGACGTCTATTTCGCCCTCGCCACGCTCAGCACGGTCGAGATCAACATCGTCAATGTTCAGCGGAAAGCGAGTGTCATAGTCGTCGAGCCGAATTTGCGGACGTGGGCCAACAGCTTCGCAAGTACGTAGATCCAGAAAACATATTTGGTACCATATGAGACGCCGTACTTGGATCTCAACCGGCGAGGAGCTGTAGGTCGTCGGGTCCCGGTGCAATCCCATACATTCAGCCAAGCGAATAAGTGACCCAGTTAGTGCAGAGTGGGCGCGAGATACTTCGTTGCGACATAGCGGAATCTATAAGAGGTTATTAGCAAATTCTGGTGAAGTCAACGGTCACGACTAGTGTAAATTGTCGTGTACCCGCTTTAAGACGGTAGACTTACGAGGTACATCACGAAAGCCTGAATTGTCTCCAATTTTGTAGTGCGTAGGAAGTTGGCTCGCGCAAGCGCTGCCTCCGTCCCTTCCCTGAAGCTGTCTATCATGGTTTGCTTTTCAACACCAAACTCGACTTGCACCATGTCGTCGGTCATTGAAACGACTGAGTTTAGCAAAGCCGCAAAGAGCACTGCTTGGAAAGATGCGCGAGGCTCCATGCCCATGTTGACTCTGATCCAGAAGTTCTGATACTGTCGCTCGAATGAAGGGCGGTGTACGGTCCGGGCTATGGTATGCACCGCAACCCAATACTGAGAGAGTAGTTTATCAACCACGACCCGAGCAGGCAGATGTGACTCAAGAGCGGTTTGGTCGATTCCGGACGCCAACACAAAGTTTGAAGATGGAGCGACATAGTCTTGTGTGGGTGCTAACCAATTTACGGCATCTTCTTCGATGGCAGACAGAGACGGAGTTTCGCGATCTGGTAACTCTTTAAGTGTTGTAGCAAGCTACGAGGAAGGTGTCAGTTTGATCCGACATGCTAAACACGTGGAGACTCACCTCATCCGACAATCTTGGACGAACAAGTCCCCCAATGCGTTCTGTGATGCGAACTCTGCCCATTCGAAAGCCCAGATCGACCATGTCGTCGTTGACATCGTCGTCAGGCTCATAGTAAGCTGCATCTTCAGTAACGAGATGTGTCGGCCGGAGATCCTTGGTGTCCTCGTCGTCTTCTTGGTCGCTTGACTGTTCCTGACCAGGGAGTGTACCAACCCTAGAAAAGCTTGCAGTATTTCTCAAGTTTATTTCTGTCTTGCGCGCAACATCTTCTTCAAGGCTCCTCTCCAAACGACCCATCTGCTCTTTAACCTCGGCTAGCTTTGCCTGAGCATTTGCATCAAGTCCGGAGGCAATGAAAACGCATTGTCGCGTGTTTTTGGTACAATGTGTACATGGGTGGCCTTTGTCGCACTTCAACTTCCGCCGTCGACATTCGAGACAAGAAGTAATGAGTCGATTCCTGCGGCGAACGCGCGGTGCAGGCTGCTGTGTCCTCTTATCGACTTCGACTGGTGGGGAAGCTTGAGATCCGTTCTGGTTCGACAACGATGGGCTCGACATGACTGAGGTGCTGTTGAAGCTTGGTAGTGGAAAGCCGGAATCCTTACGGACGTAAGATCCGATGCAATGTCTCTGCGCAGCGATTAGCGACACGGTACACGAAGGATCGAACAGGGCATGCAATACGTTACTCACTTCCCCGGTCTCCACTTTATTGGGAACTTATGGATGTTGGATTCCGGAATGGTACCTACGTAGGTAGGTATGCTTCGGAAGTTTAGGATGGTTCAGGCGTAAGACCATGCCACGTAGATACCAAGCTACGTTTCGTGCCAAGTTTCGTCAGAGGACGTGCACATGAAGTTGATGCCCTGCTTGCATGAACTCAAGACGTCTCCACGACTTTTGGAAGGAAACGTGGTGGCTGCTTGCTTACGACCTAGCAGGACTGCCCAGGTGCCCGCCCCGCTTTAGCGCTTCCGTGATACATCGACTACGGCGGATCAGTCTTTGTCAGCGTCATTACCCTAGTCATTATCTGGCCAAACCTATCTTACATGACTGTAGAGAAGAAGCAGAGGCTTTTGCGTGACAATTCGTTCCTTGGAGTCTAGCAAGTACTAATATCGGCACATTGCGACACATTCAGTTGCCTCCGGCCTGAACACAACGCCTGATTGTGACATGTGGCTTGGTAGCATGGCTTCATACTTGGCGAGCGACCGCTCACTAAATCAGGGGGAGACTGACCCTTTTCCAAATGCTGAAGATAGCCTCGACCGTAGCTGCGACGTTCCTGGATGCAGCCCTGGGGTGAAGCTAATGCAGTCGACTGGATCCGTCTCGCTACCTATGTACGTATCAAGACTACTCAGACGCGAGAATCATCGCAGCATCAGTACATGATAGGCCTGGAACAAAGCACGGAGCGATGCGATGCCTGGTGGGTTATTCCGGGTTCTCTTCAGGCGTGGAAGATATGTAGGACACGGCTCTGACGCGAACGCGTAACGCCTGGTCACGCTTTTAGTTGAACGCGACCCGCGACAGCCTAGGACAAAGATCCACTGATCGTTGCCGCCGCGATCTATCTAACGCACGTCCTCACCGCTTCCATAACAAACACCTTTTCCTGCCGCCTTTTGCAGAGTCCCCACCACGCACGCCTCTCAATTCTCAATCCCACCACATTGTCCATACCGACCGTCTCACCTGCCTTTATTCTCGCTTCATCACTTCCGCTTTCAAAATGTCTGTCGTGTCGCTTCTCGGTGTGGAGGTCAAGAACAACCCCGCGCGCTTCGACGAGCCGTACGAGTTTGAGATCACCTTTGAGTGTCTCGAGCAACTACAGAAGGGTAGGTGCGCCCAGCATCAAGAAGAATCACGGTGACTAACGGCAATTTAGATCTCGAGTGGAAATTGACCTACGTTGGCTCTGCGACCTCGTAAGTCCACTGCCGCTCCTGCTCGTGAACACGTCTGATCAATGCCCCGCAGAAACGAGTATGATCAGGAACTCGACTCTGTCCTCGTCGGCCCCCTCCCCATTGGCGTCAACAAGTTCCAGTTCAAGGCCGATGCTCCCAACCTCACGCGCATCCCCAACAGCGAGATCATCGGTGTCACAGTCATCCTGCTCAGCTGCAGCTACGATGAGCGCGAGTTTGTGCGTGTCGGATACTATGTGAACAACGAGTACACAGACGAGGCGCTGGCACTGGACCCGCCTACCAAGCCCGTCATTGAGAAGGTGCAGAGGCAGATCCTGGCAGAGAAGCCGCGAGTCACGCGCTTCGCCATCAAGTGGTACGCAGCTACAGACACTGGTGCTATTCTGGCAGTGCTAACCCATTCAGGGACTCCGACGAGTCTGCACCCCCCGAGTTCCCCCCTGAGCAGCCAGAGGCCGACCTCACCGCCGACGGCGACCAATACGGTATCGAGGAAGAGGAAGAGGAGGAGGCCGAAGAGGCTGAGGGTGAAGGTGTCGCCGCCGAGGGTGAGGATGCCGCCATGGCAGGTGCCGAGGACACTGCAGGCCCCGCCGCTGACGACGACGCTGAGTCCGAGGCCGGCAGCGAGGAGATCGATATCGAGGACTCAGAAGACGATGAGGAGGAAGAGGGTGAGGAGGGCGGAGATGACGACATGGAGATGGACGAGGGTGAGGCGGGCGCTGCCAGCGGTGACAAGCCAGCCCAACAACAGCCAGGAGGTGCCCCGCAGCAGCAACAGCCTGGTGCGGATGTCATGGTTCACTAGATGTCGCGCCGGGTTCCTTGCTTGCATACTTCACCATCGCGGGTGCTTCGAGCAGGAAGCGATATTTACCGCCTTGTGGTTTTCTTCTAGTCATGTAGACAGCAGTCGCCTCGCCACTGTGTCCACCCGATCTAGTCTTCACCTTGTCACGAAGAAGTTGAATTACGAATGATCCAGCAAGAGAGCACTTCATACTACGTGACAAACCGCGTGCCGTGATAGTAGATATGTGGTTGAAGCTCAGATCGTCCGCAAGAATGCACGCAGCCGCGCAAGCCATTCTTGGGCCCGAGTACGTGGCCTCTTGATATTCATCTCCGCAACGGTCTTCTTACCCTGCCGTTAGATCCGGGATGTGGCCTGCGCGGATCCGTCTACACAGGCTGAAAGTGGTGGTTCGAGTAACGCCAACGTCACTGCACAGCCTCTGAGTGAATGGCGCAGTGGTGGGAACTCGGAGGCTGATTTCCGAGACGTGTGTCGAAACATTTATAGTAACTGTGAAGGACAGGAAGGGGGGCGACATCGTTAATGATGCCGGTCACCACCTTCGGGATCCTTCGCTCCTGTTCTTGTGACCCTTAGAGTGCACATGTGTGCAAGCCTGAGGAACTCACTCGGCCATTGACGTCAAACAACGCACCTTTCACACACGGCAGAACCCCAGGACTACACGACTCTCCAGCGCCTGTTTCAGCAAACGGACTCGTCGGTCGTTTCGAATCTCTCCCTAGACTTATTCTTTCCCCCCTCAAACCTGCACCGCCGCCACTCTCGACTGCCTATACAACCGCGCCCGGCGAGATAGTTGCACCATATACGACTACGAATATCGCCCGCTCTCGTATACGATATCCGACAGATCGCAAGGGTTGCCGGCGAGTCTGCACTTAGCGACGGCGACTCAGGGCCACACCCCACCAAGTTAAGGTACGTTCATTTCCTGCTCCACGCGTCATTCGGCATGCATGGCGGCCTCGATGAGGGCTGCGCGGAACGGTCCCTGGGGCCAGGCGGCAACGTGCATCGAAGACGGCTTCCCTTGGACAACGGCTGACGCTTATATCTGAGCACCGCAGCGCATACCCTATCGCACCACGACAATGAGCTACCACCAAGGCCAGCCCAAGCTGGGGGCTACTTTTGTGCCAGGAGGCTTCGATGACTACTATATGCCGGCTCCTTCGCCTGAAGTCATCTCGCCTGCGCCTCAGCGGTTCGTTCTAGCCCATCGCCATGTGCATGCCCTGAGATTGCGGCTGACGTAGGTTTGGCGGTAGGATCATGCCCGAAGTGCCCGAGAACATGCAGGAAAACATCGCGCATCTGGAGTTGGAAGCCAACGGCCCTCGTGGTACCAACGGCGCCATGTCCCCCATGCAGAGCTACAATCAGTCACAGCACCCCAACTTCCCGCCGCGGCAGGCGAGCTACCAGAACGAGCTGCCCGTCCACAACGACCAATGGCCCGCCCGGCAAGCGAGCATCTCCTCTGCCTTCCGCCAGCCCCCCAATGTGCAGCCGCAGTCGGTCCAGCAGCAGCCGTCGCACGACTACAACCAGTTTGCCCAGAGCCACGATTCGCCCAACTTCTCGCCCTTCCCCAAGCTCCCCAACAAGCCCCCGAACGTGCCGCCGTCCGACGATGAGAAAGAGGCCGTCTTGGAGAATGCGCGCCTGCCCGTGCTCAACTCCAACGACCCGGAGATGCAGCTGGCATGGGCCCAAGACGCGCTGCAGTACGTAGACGCCGCGCAGCTGCACGAGCAGCGCATTTCAGAGATCCAGGGCGCGAGGCCGGCAACGCCACAGGTCGAGCACCAGCTGCGGCTCGATGCCATGAACGTAGTCACCTTCCTGGCCGACCAGGGCCATCCGAAAGCGACCTTCATGCGGGGCATGTGGCTGGAGTTTGGCAAGTTTGGCATGCGCGCAGACAAGAAGGAGGCCTTCAGGTGCTACTCCCGCGCGGCTGCAAAGGGATATGCGAGGGCCGAATACCGGATGGGCATGCAGTTCGAGCAGTCGAACGACCCGATCAAGGCCCTGCAGAACTACAAAGCCGGTGCGGAACAAGGCGACTCAGCCTCCAACTACCGCCTTGGTATGATGACGCTACTCGGACAGCACGGACAACCACAAGACTTTGCGAGGGGAGTGCATCTCATCAAGCAGGCTGCGGCTACTGCGGATGAGAATGCGCCGCAGGGTGCCTACGTGCTGGGCATGCTGCAGGCGCGAGAGCTGCCTCAGATCAACGTACCGGAAATGTTTCTGCCCTACGACGAGAAGGGTGCAAGACAGAATATCGAGAAAGCTGCCTACCTCGGATTCGCAAAGGCTCAGCTGAAAATGGGTTCTGCGTACGAGCTTTGCAGTCTAGGCTGTGAGTTCAATCCCACCCTTTCGCTGCACTACAACGCGCTCGCATCTAGGCAGGGTGAGCCCGAGGCAGATATGGCTATCAGCAAGTGGTTCCTCTGCGGGCACGAGGGAGAGTTCAACAAGAACGAAGAGTTGGCATACCAATACGCGCAACGTGCCGCCGCAGCCGGCCTTGCGACTGCCGAGTTCGCCATGGGGTACTTCCATGAGATCGGCATGAACACACCTGTCAACCTGGACAAAGCGCTCGAATGGTACGACAAGGCCGAGAAGAACGGCAACAAGGACGCGTCTGCGCGTATAGAGAGCATCTCCAAGTTGTCGCGGACACTATCGAAGAAGGACCACGAGAACGTTGCCATCAACATGATCAAGTCAAAGCACGGCTCCATGCGAGGCCAGCGGCCGGCGAGACTGCAGAAATCACACGCTCCCATGCCGTCGATCAACGACATCAGCCCTTCCGATTACGGTGACAGCTCCCCAGGTGGCCGACTGCCAGCCAGGGGCGATAGTACAACGCCATACCCCATGTCTGACCAGCCTCCAATGATCTCAAACGCGCCCATGTCGGCACCCTATGATCGTCCTTCCACAGCAGCGCCATATCCTATGGACAATGGGCCTCCTCGGCTGAGCCCCCAACGGCCAGGTATCGCGGGCGGATTTGCGCCAGAGGTGAGAGCTTCTAGTACTCGACCTGTATCCTCAGCGTTCAACATCAATCCCAACGTTTACCCTCCAAACGATCCCTACGGCCGCGGCAGCCCGCGCCCAAACCCCGGGCCAGGTTATGATATGGGGCCGATGCCAATGCGCCCTCACACGAGCGTAGATAATATGGGCCCAGGGCGTGGCGGCCGTCCTTCAAGTGGTGGCCGTGGCACGCCGCTGCCACAAGGAGGACCTGCAAGCTACAGACAACCTGGAGGGCCGAGTGCTCAGCGCCCGGAAGCGCAACCCCGTCCATCAACCACGCAGCCTCCAGATATCGGATACAGTGCACCAGATGGACGTAACAAGCTGCAGAAACAACAGGGGGCGCCACTTAAGAAAGCGCCCACTCTGCCCGATATCGGGTACGTTGCACCTCTCGAGCCTCGCCAGCATACCCGTCCATCTACCGTTCAACCGGGCCAGGAGAGTAGAACCTCTTCGAGAATGGACAGGCCCTCGACTACTACGCCAGGGCAAGGATCTCGGCCCTCCTCACGGCCGGGCTCATCAGGACGTCCCAGCGGATACGACAACATGCCCAAGCCTAACAGGGTGCAGACGTTGCAACAGCAGCAGCCGCCTCCGAAGCCTGCGCCAGTACAAGCGAATAAGCCGGCCACACCTACACCGCCTAAGCCAGCCTCATCGGCTTCCTCGGCGGCAGGCAAGGGTCCCAAGACATTTGATGAAATGGGCATAGGGCAGGCACCCAAGGAGGGCGATTGTGTAAGTTGCACGTCCGGTATGCACCAAGAATTGTTTGCTAACCTCCAACAGGTCGTCATGTAGATTTTGGAGCGCTGGAACAGCGCGATTTGGATGACGTTTTGCATAGCGGAGTTTTGATCTTGCATAGTAGTGAGCGGTCGCAGTACTAACACTCGATATACCCATCTTCGGAACACGTGAAGCGGCATTGGCGACTTTTAAGTATAGACGAAATACAATCAGACAAGACAGAACTGTGATCAATGGCATGCAGGGAGATCAAATCGTGATGTGCGTGGATGCGAGCTAACGTGCACCGTAGTCGTATCTTCACTGCTGCCAACAGGCCGTGGTAGTGCAATCCAACTGTACAACTTCTTTTGAGTCTTACGTGCGAATAATATGGGCTGTCGCAAGACCATGGCGATGCGAAATCGCCTGGAATTACTCGGGACGAGAGTAGCTACCGGGGCAGTTCCTAGATCGCGCGCGTCGACGCGGTGTCACGTGCCAGCATAAATCCGCAGTGAAGTCAAGGTCTTCTCAGGCTATGACCAAATAGCGATCCAAAAGCGTCGCTTGTGTCTTCTCTCACCTCGCTTCGGTCTTCAGTCCGAGTGATTTCTTCCCGTAAATATTAATGAGAGCCGTTGGCCGTGATAGTACCGTGGGGGTGAATTCGCTGGACAATGCACGGACGCTAGCGCGGTTCCTGAACGGCTCAGCGGGGAAGGAGCGCGTTCAGATTACCTCACTCGCAAACTCCACCTGCAACCGTACCTCCAGCCCACCCGCGCCTGTCGATCCTCTGGCTTGTGGTCGCAGTCATGTCTGGGAAGCGCTCTCGCGCTCTCACAGATGGGCTTGATCCCAACGGCTCAGGCAGTAACAGTCGCGTATGTCAAACGCCCCAAAGCCAACGGCACGCATGCTAACATCGCCCAGAACAAGCGACCCCGTCAATCTGAATCCGAGGGCAGCGATCAATCTTCGGACGACGAGCGTTCCAATGCAGCCAGCGGCAGCGATTCCTCCGATGACGAAGGCGAACACATGCGCGAACGAGAAATACGGGCGACACAGCAGGTGCAGAAAGAGCACCGGGCAACTGCAGACAGGGAAAACGTCGCGACGGATTCTGGGATTATCGAAGAAATCCAGTGCATCAACTTCATGTGTCATGAACATTTGACAGTAACCCTGGGGCCTCTGATCAACTTCATCATCGGACACAACGGCAGCGGAAAGAGCGCCGTGCTCACCGCTCTCACAATCTGCCTGGGCGGAAAGGCTACCGCTACAAATCGTGCCCAGAATCTCAAAAGTCTCATCAAGGAGGGCAAAGACCATGCCTCCGTGACTGTCAAGATCAAGAACCAAGGGCCACTCGCTTACAAGCCCGCGCAGTACGGCGATTCGATCATCGTGGAACGACACTTCAACAGAGCCGGAACTTCAGGCTTCAAGCTCAAGAACGTGAACAACAAACTCGTCACCAACAAGAAAGCGGAGCTCGAAGACATCCTGGACGCCTTCTCCATGCAGATTGACAATCCGATGAACGTCCTGACACAGGACATGGCAAGACAGTTTCTGAACCACTCCACGCCAAAAGACAAGTACAAGTTCTTCCTCCAGGGCACGCAGTTGGAGAACTTGAACAGAGACTATCAGCAGATCGAACAATCTTTGGAAGTAATGAACACGAAAGCCGAGGTTAAAGAAACCGACCTCACGACTCTACGGCGCGAAATGGAAGCACTGGAGAAGAAAGCCAGAAAAGCGGCAAGTTTACAGACGATGCGAGACAAGGAAACGGAATTTGCTCGACAAGCAGCATGGGCCACGGTTCGTGAACACGAAGATGATGTTGCGCACAACGAGAACGGACTCGCAGACACCGAGAGAATCATACAAACCCTACAACAACGTGTAGAAGATGCAGGAAAGGCCTACGAGCTGGCGGACCAGGCCCACGAAGCCGCCAAACAAAACGTCACCGACCTCACGACTGAGATGGAGCCAGCAGAGCAAAAGGCACTTGATGCCAAAGCAAAGTTCCAGGAAGTCAAGGGAAAACTCGTGCTGCTACTAGCTGATGAAAGGATTGCACAAGGTGAAGTGACGGAAAGGCAAAAGAATGTGCAGAAGTTGGAAGCAGAGATTGCACAGTACCGACAACGGCAGGCTGAAGCAGACAACGGCCGCCACGCAGAAAAGATTCGAGAGCGTGATGACGCCAAGGTTAAGTGCGAGACTGCCAGGTTAGCATTCGAGGGCCATGATACTGGACTTGCAGCGCTACAAGACCAACTGGCGACTGCTCAAAAGGAGCAGGACGAAGCAGATCGAAAAGTAGACGATGCTCAAAAAGAAGTTGCACGTATACGGGCATCCATCGAAAGAATGCAATCAGGTCGGAGTAATTGGGACGATGGGTATCAAAATCGCCAAAGGCTGAGCGAGCTACTCCGTGCGATCGAGTCCGAGCACAGATTCCGGGAGAAACCAGTTGGGCCCATGGGCCGTCATGTGAAGCTGCGCTTGCAGGATTGGGGCGGAATTCTTGAAAAGCAATTCGGTCAAACGCTGAACGCCTTTGTCGTCACTAGCAAGCCAGACCAGAATATACTATCAGCCCTTATGAAAAGGGTTGGCTGGTGCGCGCCATCTTCTGCTTAATCAACAACGCTAACGATGTCAGGTCTGCCCCGATATACATTGGCAAGAGGACGCCTATAAACACCGATGGCAATGAGCCCGCAGAAAATCTTACCACATGGATGAAGGCACTTAGGGTAGACATGCCTTATACATCCACAACATAGAAGTATTTCACTAACTATCGCGTAGTTTGACGACGATCTTGTTCGAAATCAGCTCATCATCAACCAGTCAATCGAGCAAACCGTGCTCATTGAGAACATGGACGAAGGCGCTCAGTTTATGTTCAACCGCGGGCCGCCTACTACGAACGTCAAGATGTGTTTTACCTTTGCGGATGGCGACACAACCAAAGGTCGTGTCTTTGTCTACAACAGTGGCGGAGGTATCAACAACAGTCCGATCGCACCGTATACCGGAGCTCTGCGTATGCAGGTGGACAAAGATACTCGAATCCAGTGCGTATGGCGCTTCAATATCAGATCATTCGCTAATAGCATACACAGACTAGAAGAGAAGAATCTGGCCCAGGCCAGGGGACAACTTGAGGCCTTGCAGCAGCAGTCCAGTGAGCGGCATGATGAGGTCAACAAATGCAAGGCTCAGTTACAGGACCACGAACGCCAGAAGAAACATCTGAAACTTGCTTCCCAAACTGCTTCCAGGGAATTGGAAAGACTTGAAATCGAACTGGAGAAAGCAACTCCCGACGAAGCAGCTATCCAAGTGCGGGAGTCAGAGCTTGCGGAAGCTCAACAAGAGTTGAAGAACTCCATGAATTTCTACGAAGATGTGGTGACGCGAAAGATCGAACTCAACGACGAGAATAGGGCGAACAAGCAGGAGATGGAAGCTGCACAGAAGCTTGTTGCTGATCTCCGGTCCCGGCTCGACAAGGCGCACGTGACAGTTCGAACTCTTCAGGGCACACGACAAGAAGAGCTCCAGGAAAAGAACAAAGCCATCGAGCAGGTTGCCGAAGCTGAAAATGTAAAGAAAAACTGGCAAGAAGAGCTCTTGGAGTCGCAACAAAGCCTCGCCGAAGTAACTGAGGGTGCGACGAGCATATGTGAGCGTGTGTTCGTCCCCCCCAATTCAACTTCCGAAGACCTACAACGGAGGATGGTTCAAATGGCGAAAACCAGGGAAGAGGCTGAACGGGAGCTCGGTGGATCACAGCTGGACCTTACGCGGGCGGCAACTGAAGCGAAGCAGAAGCACCACGATGCAATGAAGGAGTTTGAAGACATAAGAAGTTTACGTAACGTAAGTTTGATCACACGTATCATAATGACTCTTGCTGATCCGGCGCAGCAACTCATCACTACGCTTGACAACCGGCGCAACCGGTGGAAGCAATTCAGATCTGGCATCTCTGTTCGGGCGCGAGTCACGTTCAACTATCTGTTGAGTGAGCGCAAGTTCAGAGGTACACTTAGCATCGACCACAAGAAGGCTCTTCTTGACATCCATGTAAGTCTGGACATCAGTTCGACTCGCACACGGCGCTAATTCTATCAGGTTCAACCGGATATCATGGAGCGAAGCGGAGACGGCAGACAGACAAAGACCCTCTCGGGAGGTGAGAAGTCGTACTCTACCGTGTGTCTTCTCCTCTCCCTGTGGGATGCAATGGGCTCACCTATCCGCTGCCTCGACGAATTCGACGTCTTCATGGACAGCGTCAACCGCGAAAGGAGTATGCATATGATCATCCAGGCTGCTCGACGCTCGATTGGGCGACAGTTCATCTTCATCACTCCACAGTCGATGAGTAATGTCACGCAAACGTCCGATGTCAAGATCATCAAGATGACAGACCCAGAGCGCGGACAGACAGCATTGAATGTGCAGCGGAGTTGAAATACCCCTGGAATATGGCGTTAATGTGTTGGTATTTGTCGGTGTTGTTGTTGTCGTGTGGGCCAATGGTCACGGAGTTTGAGTATGGATATACCCGCTGGCGAAAGAAATGTGTCTCGTAGCCATATGCATATAGTACCATGGTCACTTTTCTAGCGTTCCTGCATACTGGCTGGATGCTAGTCTGTCAAAATGATCAAAAATTTAACTCGCGCTGTGTTCAAGAAGAGATCCCGTAATGTGGCCGTGACGTTTGCCGCGCAAAGCGTAGTCGCGAGTTGCGGCGTAAGCGGCCGCAGCGGGTTGTACAGGGAACGGAGTGGGTATGCAAAAGGTAAGGCGGATGTGCACCGGGATCCAGGGTCTCTTGGCCAACCACGTCGATGGACGGGTCTGATACAACTCTCCCACCTCTCGACTTGCTGGCAAACCTTGGGCCCATGTGAGAAGCAGATTTCCGTGCTGTCTCTGCACCTGGCTTCCTACCCTCCTCCGGGAGCCTATATGCCCCCCACCGACTCGCCGTCGACGCACCATCATGGCCGACTCCCCACTCTCAACACCCGGCACTCCAACCACTGCGTCGCCGCAACCTTCCGACAGAAACGCCGCCCGCTCCTTCTCGCCCGCGCAGGACGACGCGCAGACGGGCGACATGCAGGGACACGCCGAGGGTGCGCGGACGAGTGCCCCGGCGCCGAGTGTGGTGAATGCGACGGGATCAGCTGAGCAGGCCATGGAACCCAAAGGGAAAGAGAAGGCGACCAAGGGGCCGCTGAAGCTGCTGGATCTGCCCATGGACATCCTCAAAGAAATTATACACCAGGTGAGTAGGGGCGCCTTATGCGCTGCACCCTGTCATGCGGCACGGCCATGGCTCGATGCTGACGTGCACCTCAACAGCTCCCACACACCAACGACCTCACCTCGCTGTGCCTCTGTCACTCGGCCCTCCATCGACTCACGATTCCATGCATATACTCGCGTTTCGACATTGTGTGGCCCGACGAGAGCACCCACAACGAGCCTCGCGCTGGCGTCGATGCTCTCACCTATGGCCTCGCGACGCTGGTCATGGGCGACGACTGCTTCCCCCACCAGAACCGGCTGAGGCTGCAGGGACAGACGCCGACCGCACTGCTGAGGACTGCCGCCAACCCATACCCTGTTCCGCAGCGGCGCTTTGGCAACTACTACGGACAGTTTACCAAGAAGTTCTCTCTTGGCAATGGACCGCAGGCATGGGTTCAGGAATACATGATCACCAAGGAAGGCGGAAAGATGCTGGGGACCTTGGTGGCGCTTGCGATTGCGCGCATGATCAATCTGGAGACGTTCGTGTGGGATATGCCTACGGGTGTGCTTCGCGATGTCTGGCTTGCGCTGTCGAGTCTCGCCCACCGGAGTGACGGTGAGGAATGCCGTCTGGACCGCCTCTGGATACGATGGCACGACAACACAATCGACGCGCCGATCCCGCCGCCCGCACCACCCATGATACTCAACAATCAAAACCTCCCTCCACCCCCGAACGCTACACATCCGAGTGGACTTGGCACCGTCCAAGCCCCCGTTGTTGTGGTACCCCCGTACGCACCGAGTAGCATGTCTGCGCTAGATCGAGTCGAACACCCTACCTTTTCTGCCATACCTGCGCTCAAGAGTTTGAGTGTCTTGGACATCGACGAGTTGCCTTACCTCGACGAGATGAGCATTTTGATCGCAAGATCCCAGAAGAAACTACGCGAACTACGGATCGGTATCGCAGCCCATGCACAGCAGCGGGACTGGGTGACCGTCTGGGAGGGTGAAGGTCTTCAACAAGTCGACTACAACGCTACATCGACCGCTGCGTGTTCAATAGGAGAGAAACGGCTAGGAGGTGTTCTCGGCATCCTCGTCGGCCGCATACACAACATGCGCCATTCGGAAGAACCTCCAACCCAAAAGTCCAGCGCTACCGGCGTCACAGAGCGATCAGTAGAAGCAACGCCAGCCAAATCGGCAGCCTCCTTGCCCCTGCCCTCCATAGCCTCGCTCTCACTACAAGAACGCGACCCGGACCAGGATGTGGATCATTTCGGTAATCCGATGGAAGATAACTCCATAACAGAGGGCGTTAGTCTGTTCAATGACAATCAGCCGTTTGGTTCTGGACAGACTGCGCAGGCTCCTGGTACGGAGAGAGTCACTGCAAAGACACCTCCATCTCGTGACGAGACTCCTGGCTCAGAAGATGAGCCGCGGCTGACTGGCAAACTGAAACTTGAAGTACTGGAGCTCGAACGCGTTCCTCTCTCCGTCCCAGTGCTTCGCAGAGCCTTCGATTGGTCGATCCTATCGACGTTGACTCTTCTTCACTGCAGCAATCACGAACAACTGTGGAAAATACTACGGAGAACATACACCCCTCGTCCCCCCTACCCTGGCTCACCGTCTTCATCCAAGGCGTACAAGGCCTCCTACACCCTTCGATCAGAATACCAGCTCAACCTCAAGCGAATACACACTAATACAGTGTCTCCTTCGCTGATCACCTTTCTCAAAGAGACACTGGCGCCGAATAGTCTTGAAGTGCTCTTTCTCCAAGAAGGCCGCTCTTACTCGTCTACGGTAACAGTAGATGCGATCTACAAGGGGCCATTGCGGAGACATCGAGGAAGTTTGAAGAAACTAATGATAGACAGTGGAGAGAAGAGCCCAGACGGACACACGACCAATAGTTCAAGGTGGAGACGGTGGATGCTGAACCGCGAGATCCTGACATACATAACAAGCGGCCGTATGAACAGCTTGCGGGAACTCGCAGTGTCCATCGACTACAAAGACTGGGTATGTTGCGCCTCATTACAATTTCACGAAATGCGACTGACGTCTGTACAGCACCACTTCCTCCAACGTCTCCCGTATATCCCTCATATTCGCTCCCTGTATATCCCTTATATCGCCGATCACGCCCATGGCAGTAATATCGATCCACGCGAACTCGCATACCAGATACTCGACATTGTGCACTTGCGACCGGAGATAGAGCTCTGCTACATGGGTCTATCTACCAAGTGCTTTGAGATTCTGGAAAATCGACCATCAAATTATGACCTACGACACGATGGCATGCATGCCGATGGCAGTGGATCTGCATACGCTACACATGATCCGATGTTATCCGACGACGAGAGCGAAGCTACGGAAGACGAAGACGACGATGACATGGACGATGGCGCTATGCCGCCCGGCGGTGATGAGACAGAGAGCGAAGCAAGTGACGATGTCGACGTTGAGAGCGACGATGAATCGTTTGTGCAGGACTCGCAAAAAGGTCCAAAGTTACGTGTTCGAGAGATACTTTTCTACGAGGAACGAGTTGAGGCGTTTAGGAGGCGGCACGGCGTGCTGAGGCCTTGATGTAATGTGACTGATACGACGGGCATGGTGTTCTATAGTATTACTGCAGCATTTTCTGTACGCATGGAATGGAGCTTGGAATGGGACGGTGCAGGAGGCGTACATGGTAGATATCCTTGATACTTTTTCCATCAGGTATGTAGTCTCGAGACCTAAGCTCTCGTATTTGCACAATGTCGAATCATGACTCGATGTATTCGCAGGCAATATAGTACTAGACATTGAGAAACATCATCATTTGACCAAGATGTGCGCACAACGGTGAAGGTCAGATGCTTTTCGTCATGCTTTGACATGGCGGTTACCCCACGTGAATACGCGTTGGAGCTGGCCCGAGCTTGATGAGCGGTGGTCGCGACCGCTGCTGCGCGAACAAACAGACAACAATCCCCAAGACCCGACGATGAGCAGACTTGTAGCAGCAGCATACCCGTCGTTAGATGGTACATCGATTGCACGTCCATGAAGTCTCTCATATCACCACGTACACAAACACGAGCCCAAACAGTCGCATAGTGGGGCCTCCGTCGCACCTCCGTCCGCCATGGACCATTCCACCCTGGTCTTCGCGTCCGTCTTTCCAGTCCTCTCCTTCTCGCACAGCACACCGACGCCGATTGCGACACCAGATTTGGGGCATACAGCGCCTGGGACCTCGTTCGGTAGCCCGTACGCTCTGAGGAACACCGAGAGCCGAACACCAGCGCAAGCACATGGGCAGGGACAGCACAGGGCAGTGAGGCGCAACATAGCATGGAGTTGCGCGACGCGATTCCTGAGTTTGCCAAAAGACGTCAAATTTGCAGCTAGAACACAGAAGAACAGGGAGGTTGAGGAAGCCCTAGGCTTTCTCTTGAACGGAGAAGGCAAGAGCGACGATGAGAAGGAGGAGACCCTGGTTGAGTGGTACACAAACGAGTGCAGGCTGCACTTTGCAAACCATGTCCGACCCGGCCTAGAAGAGTTGTGGGGGGATGAAGTTGAGCTCCAGCGAGCCTGGGAGATCCTGGACGAAACGCAGCGTATCCTCGAGCAAGTGCAGAACGTATACCTCCAGCCCTTCACCGATCACCTGCTGCCTCTCATACAGCAGAACGCTAGTAATTCCACCCTTCGACCGAGCAGACCTACACAGATCGCCGACTCAGATACTGCGAGTGCAGCGAATTGGAAGTTTCGCCGAGATATACAGGCTGTCTTTGCGCATTGTCTACCGCTACAGCGGTATGGAAAGACGCTTAGCTACGTCTTATACGACGCTGGATGTCGCTTGTTCCGCATTTATACCCGACACGATGGCATGCAGCCGAGTGCTTCACCCGAGAAGACGCAGGAGTGCAGAAAGCGAATGATCACCTTGCTACAAAGCCTAGAGCGCGTTGGACTCGGTGGTGACAGTGCGCAGGAGGCCTTCGCACACGCCATGAACAAGCTGCTCGACTCTTTCATCACAAGCCACTACTTGAAGGTAGACTGGTATTCCAAGAAGTCAGTTGTGCCGCAGTTGAGACTGTGGATCCAGGATGGCTTCTGTCCACTCGTCGAATTGGTACTAGAATGTCTGCGGTGCGAGCAGAGTAGCATTCTGCCGACCGAATTGGCCTCGTGGCAAGAGATGGCTCTAGCTAGGCTTGGTCGGGCGAGAGTCGACAACTTGTTCGATTTTGTCATACACTGGGATAAAAGTGTGGGCGCCATCCTGGACATCAAAGAGTATCTGCGGGTTTCAAACGCGAAGCAACATCTCACCTCGAGCTTTTCTCAGCAAATAGCGAGACGCCTGTTACATCCTGGAGCTACAACGACCTATATACTGAACGTCTACATCTCTATCATTCGCTCATTTCACGAGCTCGAACCTAAAGGAGTGCTGCTCGAGCGCGTCGCTAGACCTATCAGGCGGTATCTCAAGGAGCGAGAGGACACAGCACGCATCATAATATCAAGTCTGCTGACTGACCTGACCGACGAAACTGGCAGTAAATTTTCATCTAACAGCGAGCTCTCATACGAGATTGCCAGCGAGATGGGAAAGCCGTTTGCAAACTACGGGCAAGATACTGATGAAGAACTCAACTGGAACGATATGAATTGGCAGCCCCTACCGCAAGACGCATCGCCAGACTACAAAAAGTCGAAAGTTGAGGACGTAATATGGTTCTTGTTAACACTCTGGGAACGAGAGGACTTTATCAACGAGCTGAAGAACATATATGGAGATCACTTGCTTAGATGTCAAGATCCAGAGTATGAGAAAGAGATTCGACTGTTGGAGCTCATCAAAGTCCGCTTGGGTGACGACAAGCTACAAGCTTGCGAGGTCATGTTGCGAGATGTCTTGGAATCGAAGCGTATCAACGGCACTATCCGCACAACGATCAGCGTACCAGCAGCGACATCACTTGTTACGCCAGACCACCGTAGCAGAGAACCTCAGACACCAGACGGCCGACAGCCACGCACACCACAACCTCGCAGACCTGGGCGTTCAACTCGAAATATCACTCCTGCATCCAACGCTGCAGCACCTACTGGTCCAACGCTCAACGCGCAGATCCTGTCATCGTTCTTCTGGCCACAGCTTCGCGACGACACTTTCCGCGTACCCGCACAGATCGATGCGTTGCAAAAGGAGTACGAGTCGCGGTTCGAGCGTATCAAAGGCATGCGTAAATTGCGATGGATGAATGCCTTGGGCGATGGCTCTATAACCCTCACCTTTGATGACCGCACAGAGGACTTCGACCACCTCACACCCTGGCAAGTCAGTGTGATCTACGCCTTCCAACCTCAACCCGATGAGGAAGCAAAACACTCAGACAAGGGCGGCGAAGGTATCACACGCACTGTATCTCAGCTAGAAGATATGCTAGAAATGGATGAGAGTCTCGTCACCCAAGCCCTCGCTTTCTGGGTTGGAAAGTCTGTACTCCGCTTCCACGCGCCATCTACCTACTCTATCATCGAGTCTCTCCCCAAACCGACGTCTAAAACTGGTGCTCACGATGCCGATGCAGCGGCTGCAGCAGAAGAACTAGCTACCATCCAAGCCAACGCCACCAACAACACTGTCAAGTCTCAGAGTGAGATGCTGTATGAGAAGAAGGATGTCTACACGGCTTTCATACTGGGCATGATGGCAAATCAGGGTAACATGAATGCGGGCCGCATCACCATGATGATGCGTATGATGGTTCAGGGAGGATTCCCATTCGGAGCCGAAGAAGTGAAGCAGCTATTAGGCGATTTGGAAGCAGATGGCAAGGTCGTGGCAATGGGCGGAGATGTCTGGGGTATCAGGAAATAGACTATCTCCGGTACGCTTGTGACATCCTCACAGAGATCTACATAGAATCCTACCCATGCCGTCTTGTTCAGCCTCAACTTCCGGCTCGTTCATCCATTGCACAATTTCCGCCTCACCGCCTCAACTACTCCCTCCATCTCACATCACACACAATCTTTGATGTTGCCCACAAGTAGCACAACCCATCCTCGTCGCCCCACCCGCGTATCTCCGTTTCCCAGCAGATCTCCCCGTACAACGTGCAACCAGCAGACCGCCCTAAGAAAACCCCTCTAGTATCACAGAGATCTACGGGTAAAATCGTAGATGAGACTGTACGACTGCTACACAGACTTCCGATCCTCACTACTCACCACAAATTACACATTACAAATTACACATTACACACACACACACCGCCCATAACACAAACAGATGCCAGCGGTGTCTGTCTTGTCTGCCAACATGCCATGATGCGTCGTCGTGTAACCAAACCAGTAATCTGCGCCTCTTGCAACGCCCGTGGCGTCGCAGACGCAGAAAATCGTACGGTAACGCGTGCAGCCACTCCGAAACAAATCGGGCCATGACGATGCCCAGGTGATAATGAGGTGTTGTGATTACTCAACGCAAACGCACGATTGTGACATGATCGGATGATTCTGGGAGCCCTGGCAATTCCACGTGTCGTGTGCCACAAAATGGGGAAGGTGCTGCTGAGGTCCCCTGTCTACCTGCCTGGGGTGTGTCAGGCTAAAAACGCCTTTGGGCTTGCCGCGTGCCTTCCGCCGTATGTAGAATGGCATGAGATGACATGGTGTGAGGGACGACGCGGATGCGGGTACGAGGCGCAGTATATGTATGCAGGTTGCGGTGGAAGTTTGCAGTTTGGAAGGTGCATTAGCTTGTATACACGGCCTGCGGCTTCGGGTCGATAAGCGATGCAGGCGCTCTTTCTGGGCCCAAGTGTGTTTTTTCTACTGTCGTTGTTTCTACGCGTTTTGGCCGCCCTTGCAGAATCGAACATGCATGTTGGATCACATTCTTCGGCCCTGTTTGATGCACGGTCTGTGGAGGGAGGAAATAGTAATCGGAATGTGGAGGGGCATTGATAACAATTGATATGTGGAGGAACATTCATGATGATCTGCGTTTGAATTCAGATTTTGGGTATTTGTAAAAGCAACTTGAATCATTGGCATTGGCATGAAGGACGTTTTAGGGCCACCGTTGAGGCCCGCACGGACGCTTCCGTTTACTCAATGACGAGCAACCTTTCCGTAACATCCAGAGCACCTTCGAAGTTACCGGTGATAGCATAGATGCTCTGCATAGCAAAGGCGGCATCCGTGCCGAAGTCTTCGTACCCCCAATTCCCATCATGGCACTGATCTTCTGCCTCCTGTTTGACCTTGTCACTAAGCGCGCAACACCTTTCATACGCCGGAAGTGCCTGCGCGACAAGACCCAGCCCATGCCACATCCTCCCGACGTTGAACTCCGCCTCTTGCTGATGGATAGCATGAGGGCTTTTGGAGCGCATATCATAGTATCTGTAGACGAACGACAGACCCTGTTGGATCTGGTACTGTCGGTTCTCAGACAGTCGTTTCATCGCATGTTGAATGTACGCCACGCCAATACTCAGATTCAATACTGCATCTTCAGGTGTGATGGCAAAGGCGCGGAAGTAGTAGTTGAGTGCAGCCATGTAGCTTCCACCGCACATCAAGACATGTCCGTATAATGCAAACAGCGCGGGATCGTGATCCTTGACCTTATCTACGTCTTCGACGTTGATGTTGTTTCTGAATCCTCCTTTGCTGTCCTTTGTGTCGCGGAAGTTGTATGCAACGCGCTGTGCTGGGGTCAGAAGCGCGTAGTCCATAGTCTTGATATAGCGCATGAGCACTTTGTACGCCGGCCCTGTTGCAAATCCCTCCGGAAAGGAACATAGACGGTTGACAGCGCCGTAGAGACGGAAGAGGTCGGTACCGAATGGATATTCTTTGAGGAGCCATCGTGTTGCTACAGACGCTTGACGCGAGTTGTCCGCTGCGAGAGCGCATGTGAGGCGGCAAAGCTGTAATTGTTGGTGGTATTTTTGGTTGCGATGGAAGACATTGGCCTGAGTGGCGATGTCGAGTGTAGCGAAACATTGCTCTTCATCTCCTTCACTGGCAAGCAGAATAGCATAGCGACCGAATGCATCGCACCATTTGTCAAAATGAATACCCCAGAAATCAGATGGAGCCGAATCTGGTCGCTCGCGTAGCTCGGGATCTGTCTCTCCGTCTTCAACGTTGTTTGCTACCACAGCAAGTACCATCAGCGAAGACTCTTTCCAGAGATCGCCACCTGTGACGCGACGGAAGTAGGTCATGAGATCTTCCTTCCGGTTTGAGTAGAACAGATCGAATGTGGAAAACTCTTCGATGAGCTCACGGGTAATGGACAGAACTTCATGTATAGCATCTTCGTCCCCGTCCTCTGCCATTTCCCACATCTCCTCCAGTCGCTTGAAACTGGAAACGATCTCCCGGTGCTGAGCTCGAGCGGCTTTGAGGTCTTCGGCGTGATCTGTCGCCAGTTTCTGGAGCTTATGGCGAAACAGTCTGTTATTGATCGCTCGATACGGCACGTCGGTGCCTTCAAGTGTAGTTCGTCTCGGTTCAGGATCGGGACCTGTATCGGCGTCTTCATCACGGACATCAAGGAACGCCTGAACCTTGGGCGCCTTGGCTCTCTTCGTTCGGAAGAAACCCTTCTTAGGGCGTTCGGTCGGGGCAATGAGTGCGGGAAGCTCCACATTGCCGTTTTCGTTTGCAGAATCCTCCTCTTCACCTGTCTGACCTGTTGCTTTCTGCATCCTTTTCCTATTCCTTCTGACCGTGCTTTTCCGAACACCATATCGACCACGAGCTTGCCTTCGCTGGTTGTAGTAGTACACTCTGAGCTCATCGTATGCCTCAAACCCGAGCGCTTTGAGCTTATGGCCGTACTTGTCGCGATAGATGGTCTCAGCGCGCTGCCCAGCTTCTTGCCACATGCCTTGATCTTCAAAAAACTTCGCAAGGACAGCGAGATCGTCATAGTTCTCAGCCGGCCACTTCTTCAGGATTGGAATCACCTCTGCCGCCCTCTCGGTCCTCTCTAGGTTCTTGAAGCATGTATGCAGGCCGATGTAACTTTGGAGGTTGAACTCATTCGAATTCTTGTCGAATAATGGCTCGTAGAATCGCAGCGCGTGTTCGTCATGGCCGGTGGCGTGAAGAGCATCGCCAATGATACGGAATAGGTCTTCGTAGTCCCAAATCAGAGCATCAGGGTCATGGTTATCCGGCTCCAACATCTCAAGGTGACGCTATATCGTGGTTAGTAATGCATAGCTTTTGACGCAGTCATTCGACTTACCATCGCTTCTTCAAAGTCATCCTTGCTCCTGCGTAAGCGAAACAAGCCTAGCTTCACCCTGATCTCTAATGGCAGGGTTGCGCCATATGCTGCATCCTGCGATGCTCGGACAAATTGGGGCACAGTAACGCGTCTTGGCTCATCTTCGACGTCGAACTCGCGATCGTCTTTCAGCTCGTCCCAGAATGTCTCGGAACGCCTACCCTGCTTCCACCGGGCAAGCTCTTTGAGTCGCGTGACACCAACACCATAGCTACCAGCTCGATCTAAGAGATCGAGATAAATATTGATCAGCTCCCAATCGAGTTCATTCTCGACTGGATCCCGGTCAGGCTGTGTAAAAACGTCAATGGCCTCCTCAAAGCTGTTCAGCAGCTTGTTAAGGTGTATCCTAGTCTGTTTTGGAGAGGCAGTACCCATCATTGCCATGATCTTTAATACACTGACATCCGGATCATCTCCCTGTTCCTTGAGTGTTTTGAGCATCTTGAGGCCGAGTGCGACGCACTTGGATGAACGACCCAATTGCGCTTCAATTTCAAGCTTGCGACTTCGGGCTTCATAGTCGTTGTTGAGCAAGATAATCTCATTCAAACATGGAAGGATGGCAGCCGATTTGTTCTCGTCTGTAAACTGGGGATGTTTCTCTGGATCCAATCGTTCTATGCGCTCGATGATATACTGCCAAAGACCAGGATCACGTTTAGTTGGCGCACCAGCCAGGAGTACAGCTAATGAGTCCTCCTCTCGACCCATCTCGGTATAGATCTCGGATGCAATGTTGTAAGCATCGAAGATCTCGGGATTGAGTTGAATGGCTTGCTGGGCAAATGCAAGGGCAGCTTCGTAGTCCTTTTCGATGAACTTGGCGTTGGCCTGCTTTTGCAGTGCTTTCCATTCTGCACCCGGGTCGGCAACAGCTCGGGGACCTCTGGGTCCCTTTTCTCTTCCGGGCTTGCCTCGCTTCTTTTTCCGAGGTGTCGGTCTGGCACCATTATTGCCCCCTCTGCCGCCACGACCCCTAGTCGAAGGACGTCCTCGTTTTCCACTACCTCGCCCTCTGGTGCTAGACGCTGGTATGATACTGGCGGTGATTGGAGTCTTGAGTGTGCCTCTGCCTCTACCCTTTCCTCTCTTGTACTTTGTCCGCTCTTCAGTATCCTCAAACTCGACGCCTAGCTCCATTTCGTCTGGATCGCCTTCATCTTCCTGTGCATCTTCCGATTCGTAGTCTGCGTCTACTTCTGAATCATCTTTGTTCTCGATCCGTTGTAGTTCCTCCTCTTCCTCCATCGTCAGCCGAAAGTCATCTTGATCGGAATCCGAACTATCAAAGTCGCGGTCATATCGCGAATCACGAAATCTGGTCGCGTTGGTATACTCATCATCGTCCTCTTGCCCCGGGTTGGCTGGGATAAATCCTTCAAAGACTGCAGGTCCACTGGTAGCATAGGCTCTATTGAACGGATCCTGGAACCCTCCACTAGTGAAAGGCGGAGGCTCCTCTTCCTCCAAATCCTCTACAGCGCTGAGTGGGATGAGAGGTATGAAAGGACTCCGGGCTGGCGGCTGATGGTGAAGTGAAGGCTGGAATGGAGGCGGATGTGGGTATACCTCTTGAGGAGGAAATACGGCGTTTGGTGGGAAATGTACGGGGTATTGTTGTCTGCCATGCTGCGCAGGTGGTTGCATCAAGCTTGGCGCAGCCTCTCCAAAAGTACCTGCAACGGGTAAGAAGCGTCTATTATCCGGTGGCTGTCCTGGCGGCCACTGCCCGTAGTATCCATTATTGGGGTTCATTGTGTGCTTGATCGTATCGTACCTGCGTTAGCCCATACGTGTTAGTGAGTGATCATTGTGGTGTATGCACCGAGAAAATGGTGGTGATGTCGAAAGCTTCGAGACAGGGATTGTGACTGTTGCAGAGGCTGGTGCACGTGCTTCGCGCTAGAGCTTCACGCGTCTCGCCCGCTCCGATTCGAGGCTCACTAGGAACTGATGTCTCTCCCCGAACCACTTGTTGAGCTCTCATGCGAACCTCCCGATGGTACTTGTCTTATCGCGCAAGTCCAGCTATAAGGGATTCGTGTGGTGATGGAGAACATCAACGATCTAGGCCCAGCGCGAGGAAATTACTAGGCGGTGTCAACGCTGCTACCCTGCTGCTTGGGCAGCCCGAGCCGCTGTCCCGGCAGCTAGCTTAGTAGGTGGCAGTTCTTTATAAACGTTTCAGCCAATATGCTCCCGTATTTATACAGAACAGGATCCAATTCTTGTCAATCTAGGAAGGGTCTGCCGGTGCACTTTCAGAACTCGCTACCGTAATTACCCTCTTGGACGGGTTTAGCACCTGCGCCAACTCATATTGAAGCATTTACTCCAAAACACCATACACCTTACCGCATCTTCTTCCTCCTTCGCAGGAACCATGTTACTAAGACACTTCTTTTACAATCTGTCGCTGTGCCTGACTGTTCCCGCTCTCAGCATACCAAAGCATGACACTCAGCTACCTCTCCTCCAAGAACACGAACTTAACCAATCGCAAAGTACCGACGTCGTCTTAGCATTCAAGGAAAGTGGAAGCAATGAGGTGCATCAGGTTAAAATACCATTACGAACGAGGGTCTACCCAGGTATGTCACATGCACCAGGCTTCAATCCGACCGTTGCTGACAGCCTGACTAGGTAAAGTCTTACCGGATCGACCAAGCGTTGTACAAGTGATGGAAGCCACCGAACAAGGCCGGTCAGTATCACGCGCAAGACTGGAAAGAATCATGTGCAGAGTCACGCCGAATATCAGCACCGAGGAAAGAGAAGCATTAGATGTCAGTATGGAACCAAAGGCATTACCATGGTTTGCAGTAAGAGATGGAGTTGTCGAGTTCGAAAGCAGTGGCTCCAGATGGTTTCTCGCAGGTAGAGAAATAGAAAGTTACGAGTGTCGATGACACTATGGTGCGTCCGAGATTAAAGACACGGGAAAGTAGAAGACGAATCTTAATGTAATATGCTCCATGCTTTCTAAGGGTATAATGTGATGGCTCTCAACAGCCTCCTTCCACTCACATGCATGTATCCAAGTGAACCCAACCCAAACGCCAATTATGCAGGTCTGAAATCTGATCAGACGTTATTATCCCCCTCATTCATCCCCACCATCTCGTATTCACCAGCACCGTCTCTCCCTCTGCCCCTCCCTCGCCCTCTAGATTCTCCACCTTCGTCCTCTGTAGCTGCTTGTGATCGCGCAGGCGGCTTGCTACCGAAATTGATCGGCTTCAGTTCGCGCCACTGGCATGCCCACACGCCCAGCGAAGTCATGATGGTCGCGCTGCATATCTGGAGGGCCCACCAGAACATGTGGGTGGGTATCGCGTGCGTATATAGGGAGGTGACGATCAGGTGGATAAAGTGGACAGTCAGGGCAAAGTCGAGAACGAGTTTTGAGCGCGCGATAAGGAGAAGTATGAAGATGGCACTGCCGCGTGTTAGACCATGGTATGACTGATTATCCAGCGCGTTGGAATGCTTACCAAGTGAGACTATTCAGCACCCAGACCAGACCCAGCGTCCACCCGATTGTGGTATCGCCGCGTAGACTTTGCCAGCTGAACAGGAGATCGGTGCTGACCTCCTTGCCCGCTACCAGCGCGGTGAAGAGGATGAGGACGCCGGCGCATGCATAGTAGGCAGCCTGTAGGAGTACAATCTGCGTGAGGATGCGGGTTGGGGACAGATCCGCAAGTGCGCCGGGTCGTGGAGGGCGGCGTCGGCGTGGCATCAATACGCGGGCGATGCGCTATAACCCGAGCATAAGGGGAGTTGTCGATTTGGCTGGTTGTAGTTGCAAGGTTGCCTGTTGATTCATGGGTTCCCTAACGGTTCGGCGAAACGTGGACAGCCAGCGCCGATGTCATAGCTTAGGGTCTGCCAAGCACGAATTCGACATCGTTGCGCTCTCCAACGGCCATTGACGACAACCCTATCAACTCGACAGATTCGACCTCCAGACTTGCACTACCGACGTACGTTATCACCCCGATTCGGTCTACCTGCGAGTACCCTACCCTGCGACTGACACCCGCGCCAGTTTCGACCGTCGCCTCCACCTCCGCATCTCCTCCGCAAGCTCGAAAATCGCCGCCATGGGTTGGTTCGGCTCAAGCTCCAAAGACGACTCGGGCGTCAAGAAGACAGAAGGCGGTGCGTTCGAGTCGCCATCGCGATCCAACCGGAAACAATGTTACGCTGCACGCGACGCTTTCTTCGAATGTCTCGACAAGAACAACGTCCTGGATAGCATAAATACAAAGTCTGGTAGAGACAAGGCGGCCAGCTTCTGCTCGTCATTCGATCAGGAGTTTGAGAAGAACTGTGCACACAGCTGGGTACGTCAAATCTCGCAATCGCCAGCAGCATACTTCCATGCCCGTGACAGAAACGGCGACTATGGCACTACACAGGCTTCCTGGACTACAGATTGGACAAGGAACATACCCGGATACTAGGCTAACATTCTCTAGGTCGAATACTTCAAGAAGCAACGAGTCGTAAACTACCAAAGAGAACAGACGATCAAGAAGATCGAGATGCAAGGTGGAGAAATCACTGCCCCGCAACTACCACTGCCGGGCCAGAACAGATAGATGGAGGATGGCTGAACAGCCCTAATAATGCCGCTCATGACCAATGTACAATATGTATACTACTCTCAAAGCGCTCCCAAAAAGCGTTTGCAGCTATCACGCAGCTCGGCTTCCCTGCCGTTCTAGACTATTCACACGATGGGGCATAGCACCCACACACTCTCTATGCACTCAAATGCAAGGCATCGCGTTTACATTAGAACCTCAGATCAAATGGAAGTGCATGAACCTCCCACCCTCAGCGCGCGGTCCTGTAGCCCGGCCCAAACATCCGACACACTACCTTACTCGAACTGTGACTAGACTCGCATAATGTCGTCACCGGAGCTTGGGAACGCTCACCGATGTAGCCTAGCCATAGAGTGTCGAGCCGCGCCTGTCAAGTGTACTCCTTGCATGATGGGTTCGTCGCATAGACGCAAGGACGAATCGGGGATCAGCGGTGTTTAGCTTGTCAATGCAGGCCTAGGAGTAGGCGCGGGAGTTGTTTCCTTGCAGCATCGTAGCGTGAGTTCTGTAGGTCAGGCCGCGTCTTGGCCCTGATGCCAAGGGCGGTGACCTTTTGTTGGTCACCATACCTCCAGGGGCATGTGGCATGTGGCTGCCTGTCGGCAGTTTCCTTTTGCCCGAGTCTTTGTTGCTGACAGCCTGACAGCGGTAACTCTACTGTTGAGGGGGAACATGGAAGTCTTCAACTCTGTTTGGCAACCCCTCATCAGCACGAAAGCCTATTCAGAGTAATCATCGGAATCAACATGCGCATCGGAATCAACCTTCCAGGGCCCGGAATCCTACGCGCACCAAAACAGCAAAGTACAAGGAGCATGACAAATGTCTTGCCGCAAGACAGCATGTTACCCAATATTGTTGATTAATACTGATTGGCTACTAAGACGTGCAGGTTTTAGCCGCAGAATCGAGCGGCAGTAGCAGCAGCGCGCCACCTGGTTCGACTCGTCGGGTCGGCGAGATCTGAGCTTTTTCTCGGTTATCTATGCATACAGAAGACCCCCACCCCACCATTTCCATGACTTCATCCGGGTCAAGTGGCTTATTTCACCCCTCCATCGGGTTGGTGCGTCGCCGAAGGATCCTGCCTCCGTGTGTACGTGTGTGCGTGTGTGTGCGTTTCGGTTCGTGTGCTTTTGTTCGTAGGCTTCGTGATCATGTCCCATGCTACCCAAAAGCTACCCAATGCTGATCCGAACATTTTGTTACTGAGGTTCGTTTGCTTACATCCTCCATGTCGTCGCAGTGGCAGTTGGTCACCACTTTGTCGGCCAAATAGTCGCAGGGTCGAACTCGCGCCTAAAAATCTCCACATCGGACGCGCACCCTTTGCTCGGCGACCCAACCATACTACTGTCGATGGCAAACACGACATCCTGGAATGCGCCATGGAACTCCTCCTCTTCGAAGAGTAGTTTCCTCCACATTCGGGCTACCTCCTGTGCCGGGTTTCGGAATATAGGCCCTAGTCCAAAAGCGCCCAATACCAAGTTCCTGTGCCCGCAGTAGGAAGCGATTCGCAGTACTGCCCGCATTTTCTCCTTCATGAGCTCCTTCTCTTGTGCGAACGAATACTTGCAGCCGCTCTCGTCAAGCTTGGGGCGCCGCACGGGTGCAACGGATATCACAGGTAAGGACGCTATGTCTGTGAAAGTTGCATAGTCTTGATCTGGGCCTGCTCGGAAAACAACTGCGGCCCGTTAGTGACTTGTGCCTCGTGACGATCGTTACTAGCATGCCAACGTACAGACTTCAGGGGAGTAGATGCCGCCTGTCTGTGGTATTGGGTAATAGTTTTCTTCTCGGCCCAATTGCGCGTTCCAGGGCATTGTCAGGGCATGCACGAGGTTGCTTCTCCGCGCGAAGCATTCCTCTGGTGCCATGAGTCCGGATTCCCAGTCACCTCCAGCGCGCTTCTCGTTTGCTACGTTGATCACTGGTATCCGCTTGCACTCTGGGTCTGCGTTGACAGCACTTTGGTACCAGCCCAAAGCGTAGTTTACGGGGTCGCCTTCCATGACTGCTACTCTCGTGCGTTGTGATGATCGCTTGTCCACGTTGATCCTTATTTGCGAAGAGTCTGGGTACAGGTATGAGGTTTTGGAGTCTCGGATGTAATGCTTCCAGATATGCGGCATC